TGTTGTTGTTGCTGCTGTTGCATCTGCTGCTGCTGAGCCTGTTGCTGGACCATAGACTGCGGACGCATCATCTGCATGAGCGGGTTCTGGTTATTGGGCATGAGGCCGTTGGCAAGCTGGGACTGCTGCTGAGCCATGAGCGCCTGGAGCTGCTGCTGGTTGAAGCCGGCGGGCAGACCGAGCTGGGGCATCATGGGGTTGTGCTGCTGCATCTGCTGCGGCTGCGACCCGGGTGGCGGCTGTGGCTGTGGCTGCTGGTGCTGAGACATCTGTACGGCCTGCTGCATCTGATTTTGTTGGCGCAGCATGTTGAGCTGCTGTGGAGTGAGGTTGTTGAAGTTGAAGAACGCATTGTTGTGCGTCTGGTCGAAGCCCGACATGGTGGCGGCAACCCGAACAGCTAGAGGGGATCACTCGAACGGCTGCAGATGGATGCAAGTCGATATGGGGCGGAGGAGGGGGGTCGAGCCGGGAGAGCTCGAGCTTGGGCTCGGGTGCTGCACGACGACAAGGACGTGAGCGGGGCTGAGCCGGTGCTGAGCTCGAGTAGCTCTGTGGATGGCGATCAAGATGCGAGGCAGTGGAGAACCGACATCCAAGTAGGCCAAGGAACAGAGTCAAGTGGATGTCCAGACGCAAAAGGCGACGCTAGGATCAGGCTGAGACCTAAGAGGGTCGCGACGATTTTATGCCGGGCAGCAGCAGGTGAAGCAAGGCGGCGTCGGGCGATGGTGAACGCTTGCGAATCGTGTAGGTGAAGCAGCGATGGCGTGAAGCTAGCTGATGGAATGCGGAAGCTCGTTGGAGCGGAGCGAAGCGGACGCGCGATGCTGGAAGAAGCGAGGTGGCGTCGAGACGAGGTATATCAGCGCCGAGCAAAAGCTGCCGGAGGGCGCGATGAAGGAGTGGGACCGATGCAAGGAAGCCAAGATGATGGCCAAGGTGGGTATCAGGTGGTGACGCGATGGTCAGGCTCTGTGAGCGACTGTGTAATCGAGAGACGGAAGGGTATCGGCGGCTCTTGTCTTTTTTTCTCCTCTGGCAAAGGGATGGATGGAAGAAGCTGCAAGGATGGTGATGGAGCAGCTATGCGGCGTGCTGTGATTGCGCGCAGACTGATCCAGGCCCGGAGAGTGGAAAATGGATGACCGAGTGACTGCGTACGACCGTTCGAGAAGCAGCGGAGGGGGAGAGGGTGCACGCGTCGCGACGAGGTGGATGGCAGTGTGGCCTACGCGCCAGCAGTCAAGGTCGAATGGATTGCGCCTAGAGAGACGGGGCGGCCAAGGTGACGGTGGCGGTGGCGACGGTTGCAGTGACGACGATGGCAGCAGGAGCCAAGACGAGAAGGATGGAGGAAAGTCGCTTGGCGATGAGGAGCGACGAGCCCAGATGGGGGGGTAGCGGTTGCGGAAGGGATGGTGTAGGGAATGGCGAGGGCGCGAAGGGAGAAGCGGGAGGTGGTGATCAGGCCCAGCGGTGCGAGGGCGGACGGGCGCAGTGGGCCCAGAACGAGAACCAGAGCCAGAACCGAGCGGACGGCAAGCGGCAACGGTGTCGGCCAGGGCGGGCGTCTGGCGTCGCTACACTGCGTCGTCTTGCCACTCTGCTGCCTCCCGTTGAGGCCACACGAAATCCACAGGCGAGCGAGAGCCGGAAGTGATTGAGCCAGCCCAGCGCAGCCCAGTCGAAAAGCAAAGGCGAGCAAGTGCGTCAGTTGCAGCGACAGTTTAACTCATCCAGAGGCAGCTCAGCAGTCAAAACCTAAGCCGTGCCAGGCCAGCGGACGCGAAATTTGGCAAAGCCAGCACCAGCCCAGTGTCGACCCCGCTGCGCCGACCAGGCACTGCTGCTGCTGGCCTGGACCCGCATCCGATCCCAATTTCCACTCCACAGCATCGTGGCCGCGACACTTTTCTACTAGAGCACTTTGAGCTCTCACTTCAGACGTAAGATCGCAAGCCGGCTTCAGAGAGAGGGAGACAGGCCCATGCAGCGGATCGGTGAGGCATGACTACGTGCACAGGGAGAGGGTGAGCCTTCGCGTTGCAAGCAAAGCTTGTCGGTTGAGGCGCGAATTGAATTGAACCAGGCTGCACGCGAGTCGATGATGCAGGCCGTCTGTCTGTCTGTCTGTCTGTCTGTCT